CTGGGGCCTGAATTACAGGTATAGGCACATAAGCTGTTGTTCTTCTTGTTATTTTTAATATATTTTTATTGATTTCAGAGAGTAAGAGAGAGAAGGAAACATGAAGGATGAGAGAGAATCATTGACCGGCTGCCTCCTGTACGCCCCCTACTGGGGATCGAGCTCTCAACCTGGGCATGTGCCTGACCGGGAATGGAGCTGTGACTTTCTATTTCATAAGTCGATGCTCAACTGCTGAGCTACACTGGCCCAGGGTGGTACATAAGTTTTGATGCTGGTTCTGAAATGAGGTCAAGGCACCTTTCAAAAGCTCGCCCAGGACACTTTCAGAGCCACTGTGGGCGGATGGTCTTCCAGGCCCGTTCAACTCTGACACACCAGGATGCCCACACAGGTGTTCGTCTGAAGAATGCACGGAGCAGAGGGGTGGCAGAGATCTAAGACCTTCATGGGGGAGGTCCAGGGAGGGGGTGGGGGCTCTTCAAAGAGGCTGAATGGGAGTAGCAGAAGGGTCGTTGAGGAGACAAAGACATTGGATATGGGCAGAAAGTTCACAGAGGGAGACAGCGAGGAGGGCCCTGCAGGGGGAGGTTACAGTGGAAGCAAAATCCTGGATGCAGAAAATCATGTGGCAAGTTCAGGAACTGCAAATATTGAGACATGCAGGAACCCAGGGAGACATTCCAGGAGGAGCCACGAATGACCAGTGAGCAGCTTGAGCTTTGTGCACTTGATGATAGGAAGCCACTGCTGCTTTGTGAGCTAAGAGAGTGCACGGCTGCGCAGGTGAGCCCAGCCCACACTCGATGAGCACAGAGCGCGCGCTGGCCTCATGGTTTTAACCCTCAGATTCGGCCCAGCTCCTCTTTCTTGAGCATCTACTACGTGCTACTTATTGTAAGCACTGAGCACAGTGGCTTCACGACCTGGCCACTCCGTAGCTGTACCGTCGCATCTCTTACAGCCGCTTCCTCACCCCTGTCATTCTCCTTATCCCCCCACCCCGCCCCACTCCAGCTCCCCCTGGCATCTCTGAATGAAGGTGCTCCGTGGAGCCTCACTGTTCACACACAGCCCCTTCCTCTGTTGGCATGCCCCTTCCCATTCTGCCCTCCGTGGGAGACTCTGCTGATGAGCCTTCCCCTGGGAGGCCTCGCTGATGCCTTCGGAGAGCTCCTCCTCACCCTCCGTGCGGCTCATCTACCAGCTGTCCTGGCTCCGGGTGCCTTTCTGTTTATGTGTGAGTCACTGGGCAGCAGCCGGAGGTCAGGCGTGCATTTCATTGGTTTTCCTGGTCCAACTGATGGACTGTTGGAACGGGGCAAGATGCCAAGTGTCTGGTGGTGAAGGTCACTGAAATGGGAAATATCTGGGCGGGGCTCAAACGTTGTTTAATTATCGCACACCAGTGAGGCATGTGGAACCATTCGCACGTAGCACTGGATAGGTGACTAGGGTGGGTTTATGCAGCTGCTGATTGGCAGAATGGGCATCAAAGGCACATGTGTCTTAGTCCTGGTCCAGAGCCCTGTAGCTGGGGACAGTGGCTGCATCCCTGGATGAAAAGATGTGGGGTTGGAGAAGCCACAAGCGGGCCACTTCCTTTCCCTCTTCTCAGCTTCTCAGAGGGGCAGCTTACATTTTTTCAAGATCCTTATCTGCTCCCACACGAGGGGGCGTTTCCATGCACTTGCACATCCATCCCTTGTAGGGGTGGGGAGGGGCATGGTCAACATGGCCACTGGGCCTGAGTACCCACTCTTCTCCCCGTGACTTCCCCACCTGGGAGCACCCAACTCTCTCTCTCAAAGCCCTGCCCCAGGGGAAGGCTCATCCGTAAGAGCACTTGCTTCACCAGACTCGTGAGCCCTCTCTAGAGAGACCGGAGCCAGCCGCGATGAAGCTCCTCACCCCGGCCCTGGTGTGCCTGCTGCGGGTGGGGACGTGGCTGCAGGATGGGGACGCTGGAGCCGAGAAGTGGGGCTGGCGTCCCTTAGCTTCACCTTGGGGAGGGCAGCAACGTGGGCAGGCACCCTCCACTCCCTGCCTGCGTCTCCCCTGCTCCAGGGAGAATTCTTCTGGAAGAGGAGGAATGGGTGGGGGCACAGGGCCCGTAGGAGAACCAGGAGTCTGGGTCGCCACAGGCAGCTGAGCCACTCGCTCCTGCAAAAGGAGGCCCTGCCTTGTCCAGACCCTGCAGACTGACGGATGGAGGGGGCTGGGAGGGTATTAGTCCAAGCTGGAGGCCTGAGGTCCAGAGGGGCCCTGGGTCCTGCCTCCACAATGTAACAGATAAAGGGCAGAGGTCAGGACCCGGGGCTGTAAGAGTTGGCTAACCATAGGCAAGTCACTTCACTTCTCAAACTCTGGTTTCTCCATCATTAACGTGGGACTGAGAATGTCTAACACCCAAGGCTGTTTAGGGAATACCGACCTAATGCTAAATACACGAAAGGGGCTTCGTACACAGTAAGACCAGGAGGAAGGAGCAGGATTGGAATGCAAGTCTTTGGAGGGCGGGGTGTGGGAGGGGGTGTACAAACGGGCAGGGTTAGGTGGGGGGTCAGGACAGAGCCAAGGACCGGGAGCAGGGCATTCTGAGAGCCAGTGGGGGAGCTGACCAGTCCCTGGATGCTCTTCCCTTGTCGCTCTATCAGTCTGGGCTCCTTGAACGGTGTCTAATCCTGCCCCAGGTTCTTGGACCACAGTTGTCCTTCATGGGCCAGGCTCACCAGGCCCCCAGAGCATGAGATCCAGTGCCCTTGAACCCAAATATTGGGGCAGAACCTCACAGGAGTGGTGAGATGTCAGAAGTGGAAGAGCCTTTAGAAACCAGTCTAGAGACAGGTGTATTTTACAGATGGGAGGGCTGAGGCCCAGGTGGTCTTGCTCAAGGCCACCTACTGGTTTGTGGGGAGCTAGGATCTGAACCCCAGTGTCCAGACTCTGCCTAAACACAGAACGAGGTGGGTGGTGGGACAGTGCTACCCCAGGGTGGTTCCAAAGCCTGAGCCTGCCCTGCGAGGGTTTTTTGTTTATTATTTTAATCCTCTAATTCCATTGAGAAAGGGAAAGACAGAGAAATATCGATGTGAGAGAAACACATCGACTGGTTGTCTCCTGCATGCGCCCTGACCTGGGAAGAGCCCACAACCGATAGGCACCCTTGACCAGAATTGAACCAGGGACCCTTGGGTCTGCAGGCCGAAGCTCTATCCACAGAGCCAAATCTGCTATGGTGTTTTGTTGTTGTTGTTGCTGTTGAAAGTGAAAAGAAATCCAGGTTGACCAGACGCGAGCCATTTTTTGCGTTTCTCTTCTAGTGCACGTGCCGTTTTCCTATGGTTGCTTCACATTTGTGAAGAAAGCGATTTCCCTGAGGAGCATCCGTGTTACAGAAACTCCAGTTCCTCCTGCTCCCACCGGGATGGTCTAATGTGAGTGCCATTCCCTGCCCGGTTCCTGACGTCCTCCTCCAGAGAACAGAAACCGCTACTGGAATTCGAATAGCGGACGCTAGGTGGCGATGTCCCACCAGATCAAGGTTTCTAAACCCTGGGAGCAAGGCCTTCAAAACCTGGGTGCAGAGCTGAGTGTGGGCGCCAGGGGGAGCTCCGCGCGCCCTCGCCTGCGCCAGGAGGCTGCACTGGTGTGTCCTGCAGCGACTAGTGTCTTGGCGCTCCGAGGAGCCAAGTGTTCTATCCTAACACTGTATGTCATGCCCAGGGAAGGAACTGCTGACACGCTCCCGGTATGACTGCACAGTAAGAAGAGTGAGGGGGTCACGACTAGTTCCTGACTCCAGATTTGCCAACTCTAGTCTTGGGTGCCCTTGGCCCGTGGCTCTCTGCCCTGCGTTCTCCAGGCGCGCCTTTGCACTCCTGCCTGTGAGCTGGAGCAAGTACCATAGCTGCACCCCAGGGTCCTCACAACCTTGACGGAGGCAGTTGACAGTTGAGGTGTATATTGTCTTGGTTAACCAACTCGGGGCACGTCTTTTCAAGATCACAAAAACTGAGGTTCAGGGAGGTGGGAAGAGTTCTTGGAGATCACCCAGATAATTAAGGCAGAATTGGTCTGCTGTTAGGGCCATCGCCAAGCTCAGGAGGTGGGCAGATCAGAAAAGAACCACACACCCACACAAATCCTTAGAATGACTGAACGGAGACACGGGAAGAGGTGAGCAGAGGGGCCCTCCAAGATATGCCAGGAGGGGAATGGAATTTTCCATGCTAGCTCATCCTCAGGATGTGTGCAGCCTTCAGCTCCACTCTGACGCGCCGGTGAAAATCTCAGGGAAAGAGGTGCAGGGAAGGCCGTTGAACAAGCTCCCTTGCCAACTGCACCCTGCCCCGGCCACAGGCTACTCTTCCTGACAACACCCCCACCCCCCACCCCCCACCCCCCGGCTTCCCCCTGGCTCCAAAGCCTGGGGCATCACCCGTCTGCCTTCAGATCTAACTCCAAACTCCCTGCCTTCACATTGTGATTCCTCTCTCACCACACAGCAACCTTCCCTTTGGAAATCTCTAACGTCTCCATTCTGGAACCAAACTCTGACCTTATGGGGATAGTCCTTCCAGGCCCTCTCCCCTCTTTCCCATCCTGCACCTTCTCTATAGGAATCTCGTGATGACTGTGTTACATCCTCCAAGGCTGATCGTGTCCCATCTTCTCGGGCAAGTTCAGCGCTAACTGGGACTGGTCAGCTGGTTTTCCCCTGGGCGGGGGGGGGGGGGGGTGGGGGGGGGGGGGGGGGGGGGGGGGGGGGCAGGTGCACATCATGTGTATATGACTCCAGGATGGAGGACGGCTCCCATTGGGAAGGCATGGGTTCAGGGAGACCAGTTAGAAGCTGATGCTGGGACTGGGGCCATTGTTCTAGACTAGTCTGGGCTGGTAAGCCAGGGCCCCCCTGACCTAGGCTAGCCCCCTACATCCACCTGCACTTCAGAGAGCCCCCTACTGATTGGAAATTACCCTCAAAGAAAACACCACTGTTAGAGATTTAAAATAAAAGTTATTTCCTGCAAAATGTCAGCAGTCCCACGATTGCATTTTCTCCACAGTAACATATTTAGCTAACAACACCTGGCATTCACCAGGCACTTTCCTCTGTAGCTTCCCTGGCCCTTCACCCCTGTGGTTCTCACAGGCATGGCCACCAGCCGTGGGCAGTTAGGCAGGAGAGGGACCCTGCCTCCCGCTTACCGCAGGAGGAAGGGCGCCCATGACAGGAACCAACGGGCTCAAGGCCTTCCTTTAAAGAAGAAAGCTCAAGCAAAAACAAACAAAACTCATAGAAACAGTCAACAGCATGGTGATCACAGCACGGGGCAGGGGGCGGGGGTAGGAGAGGGTACAGGGGTTATACCTGAGATGGAAGGAGACTTGACTTGGGGTGGTGAACACACAATACAATATACAGATGCTGGCTTATAGAGCTGTACACCTGAAACTTATATAATTTTATTAACCGTTGTCACCCCAATGAATCCAATTAAAAAATAAAACACACACACACACAAAGGTGGCCAATATACAAAATAGACCCCAACCCAGCAAGAATGCAAATAATATTAAACATTACTTAAGATAAAACAGCTCTGCCTCCCGATTGGGAAATGGCGGTGCCATGAGTGCAGGGGGGGCTGGAGGAGAATGCATGTTCAGGTTCCACACTCTGGCGTGGTGTCCCCGTGGCCGGGGGAGCCCTCATCCTCCAGCTGTGAGACTTTTGGTCCAGGCGCTTCATATGGTCCTGGACCCACTTCTCCTTTGGGTTGGCACAGATGTGCCTGGCCAGCTTGGTTTTGAAGCTGTGGGTAGAGAAGCGCCCGCACAGTTAGAGGGAGCGCTTGGGGGTTCTACCCAAGAGGTGGGCCTCCTCCCAGGAGGAGGGAAGGGGGTGGCAGGAGGGGGCCTCTGGACCCAGTCGCTGTTTGTGCCCCCCTGGGGGAGGCTGGCCTGGCCACAGAGCCTCCGCCAGGGTGTGAGCCGCGCCCGTCAGGGAGCCGGGAGCCGGCTGTGGCACCTCACTGGCTCTCTCGGGGCCTTTTGTGATGAATAACAGGAGGATCTGGATGACACAGTCTGGTTAGATCTTATCCTCTGAGTACAAGGTCTTGAATTAGTCTGATGTCTGTGTTCTGGGGCAGAGCTTTGGATCAGGGACTTTGGGGACGGGGGATGGGGGGTGGGGGGGAGGGAAGGGCAGGCTGAGGCGGGTGTGGAGGTGAGCAGGGTTTTCTACCCACATGACAGCTTTCTGGGCACAATGGCTGCTGGTGACTCGGTAGCTCCTGAGCTTCTGCAAAGGGATCTTCTTGTTAGTCACTGTGAAGCAGCAGGTGGTCGTGGTAAGGATCGCACCTGGAACACAGCCACAAGGAGAAGCCCTTCAGGAGGTGCGAGGTTTTCTCAGCCTGACTGTGTGGCAGGAAGCGTCTGGGGGAGGAGAGCAGGGAGTCCGACGTGGTCTCACCCCCGCCCTCACCCCCATCCCCCAGGAGGAGGGCAGGGAGGCAGACCTGATCTCTCCCATCCCAGGTCCTGCCCTCCCGCCCTGGGCCCTGAGGCGGGCTTAAGATTTGCAGTCAGTTTTCCCAGCTGCATGGTGGGGACAGGTCACGGCTGACCTTGAGGCCAGAGTGACCCATCCTGGCTATGACCCCCAGACTGCAGAGTTTGGGGAGATCCGCTGGGGCCCGAGAAAAGGCCCTGGATTTGGAGCGGGCAGCGTGGCTTTCATCCTGGCTTGGCCATGGCTGGGAGGGGGTGGGGCTGGGAGCTCCTCTTGTCCCCACCTGGGCTCGGCTCTCTGTTTCTAGAACTGGAGGTTAACACGAAGCTCCCGGGACCCCTGCTGCTCTGATAGGCTGGGAGGTGGGGCATGCTGGCTTAGGACCTCCCAAAAGGAGAGAGAAGGAGAGAGGGGGCAGGGGGCTTACCTGGCTGAGCGACCACCTCGGTGCTGAGGACGGCCACGGCCACGGCCACGGTGAGCAGCAGGCACAGCAGCCCTGCGGAGACCTTCATGCTGGAGGCTGCGTGCGGATAAGGGCTTCCCCCTGAGAGTTGTTGGCGTCTGGGCTTATCTCGGCCTCTTCTCCCCTCTTCTCCAGCCGCTCCGCCTGCCTTTTATAGGAAACAGAGAGGGTGGGCACTCCCAGAGCGATGTTGGCCCGGGCAGGGGCATGGTCGTGTCAACATCTGCTGAGCCAGTGGCTGTGCTGCCAAGCGTTTCCCAGGAAATGCAAGAGGGAAGCTGTGGGCCGCAGCAGCGCGGGCACGGCTTCCTTCCCTCCTTCCTGCAGGACATGGCCCAGGTGCCCCATGGCCTTGCTTAGAACAAAAGGCAAAACACTCCCGTGGGGAAGAGCGCGGCGTGCGGGCTTCATGCATCCTCACGCGTTCAGTCTCCGTGCCACTGTCACCCTGCCCACTGGGGGGCCGAGGAGTGGCCGCAGGGATGACATCGTCTCCCATGGGAAGTGAGTGGTGCCTGGCAGAGAAAATGAGCCTGTGCACACAGACCCACGTGGCAGCTGTCAGCGCTCACGGAGCTGCGAGGCCCTTCCCGAGCCGGGCTTACTGTGAGAGTCCCGCACTTGAGACAAATCAAAGCCAACTTCTGGTGACAGGGCCTCCTCATACCACGACTGGTGCCCTTCTGCACCGCAGACCCGGACGGCTAGGGTTTGACAATCACCGCTGCGTCCAGGCCCCTGTGGTCAGGGATGTCCATTGAGTTTCTGGAGCTGCTGGTGGGAGGGGTGTGCAACTTGCTGGGAGGTAGGGGCAGGCTGCAGTGGGGGTGGGGCCGGGACAGCACTGGTGCCCATAGGAGCCTGGCCAGGCCTTGGCCCGAGGTTCCCGTTGGCCATGCTCACTCCTGGCTCCCGGATCTTGCTCACTGTTTGTGCCTGCCTGGGATCCTCTCCCCTCTGCTGTCCATTCTTGCGAGTCTTTCCACTCCAGCAAAACAAGCCCAGTGAGAGGAAAAGACAGAAAGACGAAGAGCCAAGATTAGTGCGATAGGAAGCGCTGATGTTGTGCTAGGGTGAGGGACTGAGGCATGGAAGGGTTACAGAATGTTACAGAATGTGCTGGGAGGGGGGACTGATGTATGGAGGATTGTGTCAGGGTTAGGAACCATGGAAGAAAAATTGCTAGGTTGTCTTAGAAAAACAATGTGTTATGATACGCTCCAGCCAGGTGTGACTCTGTTTACCCCCCTTTTGTGCTTATGAACTTTCTGTGAACTTCTAAGGTAACACTGTTGTGCTATAAAGGATCATACTGCACCCTTGATCTCTGCCACATGCTCCGAATCTCCCAGAGGGGGAGATAGGCGCGGTGGTCAGCTGGCCAGCTTAATAAAGGCTCTTAAATTTAAATTCTGAGTTGGTGGTCTATCTCGTTGAGCCAACCCATAGCAATGTGACGCAAAGTTGGTTTTCTGACAAGCCTGTAATGAAGCTAAAGCCCTCCTGAGACTGACCACGAAGAAGGGAAAAAGGGCCCTAGCCGGTTTGGCTCGGTGGGTAGAGTGTCAGCCGTGGGCTGAAAGGTCCTGGGTTGGATTCCAGTCAAGGGTTGTAGGCTGGTCAGGGTGAGCGCAGGAGGCAATCAATTGATGTGTCTTTTTCTCATCAATGTTTTTCTCTGTCTCCCCCCCTCCCACTCTCTCTAAAAAAATCAATGGAAAAATATCCTTGGGAGAGGATTAACAAAACAAAACAAGAAAAAAAAGAAAGGAAGGAAAAAAGGCATAAATAGCCAACAGCAGGACATCACCACGGAGCCTGCAGACACCAAGAAGATAAGAACCTATGCCAGTACATTTAATTCAGGAGAAATGAATGAACTCCCCCCAAAACATAACTTATCAGACGGCAAGAAAAAGCTGAAAAGAAGTAATTCTAAAACTATTAAAGAAATGTAATCAGTAAGTGAAAATCTCCCCACAACATACCCGTGGGCCCCAAGGGCTTTAACAACTGGTTCCTCCAAACCACTCCAAGAACAGTCATTTCAATCTTACACAATTTCTTCCAGAGAATATATAAAAAACAGTGTACACTCTTCAACTCCCTTTATGAGTCTTACATAACTGGCACAAAAACTTGTCAAGAACCAACAAGAGCTGGGCTGGTGTGGTTCAGTGGTTAAGCATTAACCCATGAACCAGGAGGTCATGGTTCAATTCCTGGTCTGGGCACATGCCCAGGTTGCAGGCTCGATCCCTGGTGGGACGCATGTAGGACAGGAGGCAGCCAATTGATGATGTTTCTCTCTATCCTTCTCCCTTTCTCTCTCTCTAAAAGTCAATAAAAACTGTGGAGAGTGGCTACAGCGTTTGAACAGGTTCAAGCCTGGGACTAATGAGAGGGCACGATCCTCTCGTGGCAAAGCCACGTGCAAGTCCCAGCACTAGAGTTGTACGGCTATAGTTGTAAGCTTGACCTTATGGTCAAAAACTGTGGTCCCACGTGGCTGAGTGACACGGGCTGCGGGAGGTGCAGCAAGTAAACAAAGCTTGATCAAGTGCATGTAATTGAGTAGATTGGAAACTCACGAGAATGTTGTCAACATCTTGACCACGCCCTTGCTTTGCCTCGAGGAATCTGGCTATAACATAAGGACTCGGCTTGCAGGCCGCGGCGCTGTCTCTCCCTCAGAGAGGAGCGTCCCACCCAGACCCAGCTTTATTCTCTTGTCTGTCTTTTCTAAATCCTTCACCGCCCCCTCTCAGGTTCACCCATGGCCCTGCCGGCTCGGCACAAAAGCAATATTAAAAAACCCTCACAAAACCAACAAGAAGATTGCAAGCTTGTCCCTCTAGAGCAGGGGTGGGCAAACTTTTTGACTCGAGGGCCACAATGGGTTCTTAAACTGGACCGGAGGGAGGGCCGGAACAAAAGCATGGATGGAGTGTTTGTGTGAACTAATATAAATTCAAAGTAAACATCATTACATAAAAGGGTACGGTCTTTTTTTTTAGTTTTATTCATTTCAAACGGTCCGTAGTTTGCCCACGGCTGCTCTAGAGTCTCTAGATACACATCCCATTCGTTTCCACCCTCTTCTGTGGCTGCGGAAGCTCACCTGGTGGATGACAGGAATGGGACTGCAGGTCCTTTGGCTTCAGGTTGGGTCCGGACACTGGGGAGCCCCTCGGGCATTGGGGAGGGAGAAGAGTTAAGGTGGGGTACTTATTTCTCTGCTATCTCCCCGGTGCCTCAGCCTGGGTGCAGCCAGCTCTCAACTGAGGTTTTTCATTTCCCTCGCCATGACCCCCTCCATGGCTTGCTCCAGCTTTGGGGAGCCATGCCCTGCCCTTTTCTCTCCAGCTCTAGGGGTGGTCATTGCCCTGTTATTAGCACCCCTGTGGTTTCTCCACACCCAGCCCACCTCTTGGGAAACAGCATTTTTATTAAATCTTCCTCAAATCATTCCAATGTAAGCATCATCTGTTTCTTTCTGGAACCCTGACCGACATAGGTTTGAGTGCCAGAGGGGTCCTTCCAAATGGGGTTCTGGGAGTGGGTTGCTCGTATATTTTAGGAGCACAAAAATGACAGCTGTTGACATCCTTACTACTGAAAGCATCACCTGTATTAGTGAGGCAGACGGTTAACAAGCCCTCCAGGTGGTTCTCATGTGCACTGGAGTTTGAGAAGCATGGAATGACAGCTGTCGCGTGCCCATCTCTCAGACACAGTGAAAAGCCACCGGAGGGCTCTTAAGGGTGCTGGCCACCTCTCACGACCTCCTCCAAATATCTCACAGCGCCCCCATAATGGACGTGTCCCCTGGCCTTCCCCGGAGTGCAGTTAGGGGATGGCCGAGCCCTTTGCACAGAACAGATCAGTTTCAACAGATCCACCTCCCTGAGCTGTGTAGACAGACGCCTTCCTGACCTCCCAGGGAAGTTCTAGAATTTCAACCTCACTGACTACAGGCTTCTGTGTAAGTCTACACTCCAATTAGCCAACCTCACTGAGCATTCACATCACTGCCAGATTGGTGCCAACACATGCAATTCTGAATTCTGGGCAAGTAGGCCCAGGTCCATGAATTTGGCCCATTGAACCTTGTATGTCATTCACCGCTCAGAATCCACTCCCCCATGCCCGTCCCAAACTTTCCTCTGAACGGAGTGGGTGAGGACACTCAAACCCTCCCAGCTGTACGCACTCTGTCTGCCTTTCCCTCGGTGTCAGGACCCAACATCTCAGAGGAGAGTGTGTTTAGGAGCCTGAAGTCTTGAGTCGGCCAGACAGACATGGGTTCAAGTCCTGGGTCTGCCACTTCCTAGTTATGCAATTTGAAGCAAATTAACTCACTAGCTTCTAAGTCTAAGAGGAACTGATAGGTAATTATTGCCTCATTGTGTGTTGTGGGAGTCCCGGCGCAGTGGCAGTGATTCCCATTTCTAACCAGTCCCAGGTGCCCCTGCTGCTGCTGGTCTGAGGACCGCGCTGGGAGAAGGGCTGCCTCAGTGGAGCGAGGTTTAGCTCTCAGGGGGAGGAATGGGACCTTGGCCGGGTGGGCACAGGCCAGGCGGTGATGCTGGTTAAACAGAGGTGCAAGGTGGCCACAGTCACCCCAGGAAGCCCCGGGCTGGACTGCTAGCCAGAAAGTTCTGACCCACCGAATCTGTGGCCGTGATTAGGGGATCCCTAGACTGGACACAGAGGGGCCACTTACTAAGGTACTGCTTGACTTGAGGCAGAAAATCCTAGCTTTCATGTAGAAGAAGAGATTCATGGCTTCTTGCCCAATGATCAGATCTAAGCCAGTTCCTAGCCCTGAAGTTCCTGGGTGGAGGGGGGCTGGGTCCCTTTCAGGAAGGGCCTTGCCATGCCAAGTCACCAGGTGGAATACAGGACACCTGGTTAAATCTGAATTTCAGATAAGGAATGAGTCATTTTGTAACAAATATGTCTCTCGCAATATTTTTGCTAAGCCTGGACATCCGTGGGTTTATACTAGAAACATTCCCCCAAGCCTTGCCCAGAGCAGCCTGCTGCCATGTAACCAGGGTGACTCCGGTTTGGGGAAGGAAATGCTGGGACTCTCTGGTAGTGGCCTTACGTGGATGGTATTCTCTGGAGACCTAAAAATTCA